TTGTGGATCCAACTCCAGGATTTTTTGGATGGACTGACACCTTCCTCGCGATGAACTCTGAATACTACATGTGGAGGTCCACTAATGAAGAAAATTCCGGAGGAGGTTGTTTTAATCCTTGATGAATTATCTAAGGATGCTAACCAGTGGCTTGCTGAGAGTAANTTCCAGTTTCTATCATTTCAGACAGAGGTACTCAGTTTACATCGCGGTTCTGGAGAGCTGTGCAGCAGGAGTTAGGCACTCGGGTGGAGTTGAGCACAGCATTTCACCCCCAGACGGACGGACAGTCCGAGCGCACTATTCAGATTCTTGAGGACATGCTCCGTGCGTGCGTGATTGAGTTTGGAGGGTCTTGGGATCATTTCTTGCCATTGGCGGAGTTTTCTTATAACAACAGTTATCAGTCCACCATTCAGATGGTGCCGTATGAGGCTTTATATAGCAGGAGGTGTAGATCTTCGGTGGGTTGGTTTGAGCCGGGTGAGGCCAGGCTATTGGGTACAGAGATGGTTCAGGATGCATTGGAGAAGGTCAAGGTGATTCAGGACAGACTCCGTACAGCCCAGTCTAGACAGAAGAGTTACGCGGACAAGAAGGTTCGTGATGTTTCATATATGGTTGGTGAGCGAGTTCTGCTTCGAGTCTTGCCTATGAAGGGCGTCATGAGGTTTGGAAAGAAAGGGAAGCTGAGTCCGAGGTTTATTGGCCATTTTGAGATCTTGAGGCGAGTTGGGGAGGTTGCTTATGAGCTTGCCTTACCTCCCAGCTTGTCCGGAGTTCATCCGGTATTTCATGTTTCGATGCTCCGGAGGTATCACGGTGATCCGTCGCACGTGTTGGATTTCAGTTCAGTCCAGTTGGACAAAGATCTATCCTATGTTGAGGAGCCAGTGGCTATTTTGGACAGGCAGATCAGAAAGTTGAGGTCAAAGAACATAGCTTCAGTAAAGGTTCAGTGGCGGGGTCAGCCGGCCGAGGAGGCGACTTGGGAGACCGAGCAGGATATGCGCAGCCAGTACCCTCATCTTTTCACTACTTCAGGTATGTTCTCTATGCTCGTTCGAGGATGAACGAATGTTTAAGTGTAGGAGGATGTAATGACCCGGCCGGTCGTTTTTGGAAATTACGCCCCGATCCCCCATTAACTGTTTTCCCTAAGTTCATTTCTGCTATTTTGGTTTGCCGGGACATTCGGTGTTGAGTTTCGGAGAGTTTTGGGACACTTAGTCCCTAACTGAGAGCTTAAGAGTTGAAAAATGGTCCGTAATCGGAACAGTGTGAAGACGACCTCGGAATGGAAATCCGATGGTTCTGTTAGCTCCGTTAGGTGATTTCGGGGTTGGGAGCGTGTTCGGAATGTATTTTGGAGGCTCGTAGCTCATTTAGGCTTGAAATGCCGAAGTTTGAATTTTTGAAGTTTCCGTTCCGATAGTGAGTTTTTGATCCGAGGGTCGGATTGGAATTCCGGAAGTTGCAGTAGCTCCGTCATGTCATTTGGGATGTGTGTGCAAAATTTCAGGTCATTCGGGCGAGGTTTGGTTAGGTTTTTGATCGAAAGTGTGTTTTGTTGGAATTTGAAGTTCTTAGGCTTGAATCTTTGATTTAATCGGACTCCCGGTGTTGTTTTAGGTGTTTTAAGGATTGGTACAAGTTCGAATAAGGTATTAGGTGGTATTGGTGCTTTTGGTTGAGGTCCCGGGGGCCTCGGGATGATTTCGGGTGGTTAACGGAAAATTTTGAAGTTGAATGAATTGCTGAAGGTTCTGTCATTTGGTATTTCCGCTTCTGCGGGTTGGGAAGCACAGAAGCAGAGCCGCAGAAGCGGCTAGACCATCGCAGGAGCGAAATTCGAGTGCTTCTTCAGTTTCCGCAGGTGCGGAAGTTTAACCGCAGAAGCGGTTACGCACCTGCGAGATGGTAGTCGCAAATGCGGTCCTTGAAATTTTGTTTGAAATCGCAGAAGCGGTAATGAATCCGCATAAGCGGAAACCGCAGGTGCGGTGAAGGGCCGCAGAAGCGGAAATCTTGACTTTAATGAAGAACCGCTGAAGCGGCTTGTGGTCCGCAGAAGCGGTCCCTTGTCCGCAGAAGAGGAAACCCCTGGACAGAAATAGAGATGTCGAGGGTTTGAGTTCATAAGTTGCAAAGATCAATTGAGAGCTCGGTTTAAGGCGATTCTGAGTGGGATTTGAAGTGAAGATCACTAGGTAACGTTTCTTTGGTCCCTTCTTGTTATATTTCATCATTATATAGTTAAATCCACTATTAGAATTCGAATTCAAGGTCAAAATTGGGGAAAATTGGAAGAAACTTCATAGACCTAATTATTGAGTTTTGAGTGGGCAATTGACCTCCGATTTGGGAGATTTTTATATGGTTAGACTCGTGAGAGTACGAGGGTTCTGAAAATGTGAAAATTATTCGATTCCGAGACGTTGGCTGGTGGGGCGTTTTGGTCATTTTACCTATTTTTGCGCCCTAGCTGTAAACTTATTAGCGGAATCAGTTGTTTGCAATATTATTTACAATGTGTAATTGAATTGAATAGATTTGGGCAATTTGGAGTCGGATACTCGGGGCAAGAGCGTGGTTTCTAGTTGATATTGAGCCGGTTCGAGGTAAGTGGCTTGTCTAACCTCGTGTGGGGGACCTTTCCCCTTAGGATATTGTTATTTGGTATTTTGAGTGCCTTGCACGCGAGGTGATGAGCGCGTAATTGAGCGAATTGTTGAAAATCCGGTTTTACTTAAGATATTGCGATTGAGTTTCTTTCATATTTGCCTTATTCTACCTGCAACTACAACCTGTGCTAGATTAGGAGAGCATGTTTAGTTGTTTTAACTTGTCTACTTGCTTATGTTGCCTTGACTGTACTACATGAAGCATGTTAGGCCAGTACTACCCGTTGCTTGTCTTTGTACTTCATTTCTGTGTATCTTCTGGTTGTGATTGCGCATTTACATTGGGACTACGGATGTGGGATTCCGGTAGCCCCCCCCCCTTGTTTGCTTACTTTGGGACTACGGGTTCGATTCCCGGTAGATCCCCCTGCACTTTTACTTTGGGACTGCGGGTTAGATTCCCGATAGATCCCCCTGCACATTGATAGTTGGACTACGAGACGGAGTCCCGGGAGATCCTTCGGATATACACATATGATGGACTACGGGACGGTATCCCGGGAGATCCACTGGACAGTTGAGAAAAGGACTACAGGACGGTATCCTGGGAGATCCTCGTTGTTACCATTGGTATTGAGTTGTACTTATTCTGTGGTTGTTCCGTTCTTGTGTATTTGCTATTGCCTTGTTTAACCTGTCTTATTTCACTGCTGTGTTTATTATTTCTGTCAGATTATCATACTGTTAATTATTGTTATTACTATATTTTGTCTCAGTATGGCCCTGACCTTCCTCGTCAATACCCAACCGAGGTTAGGCTTGGCACTTACTGAGTACCGCTGTGGTGTACTCATGCCCTTCCTGCGCATGTTTTTCATGTGCAGATCATCCAGGTACCTCTACTCAGGCGCACTATCAGTGAGGCAGGAGGACTACGGAGACTTCGAGGTAGATCTGCTGCGTCCGCAGACCGACGAGTCTCCCTCTTATTCTATCTTTAGTACTTAGTTTTTCTTCTTTCGATTGTTAGAAATTCTAGAGTTTGGAACCTTTACTATACACTTATGTAGCCTGCGTTGCCCGTGAGTTTTCGGGTTTTGGGAATTGTTTTAGACTTGTGATATTGAGTTGTACTTGCCAAGCGGCATTCAATACAGTTTCCTTTAGATACTTGATTTGATTTTCTCTATTTTTCCGCAATTATTATATTTCCGCAAACGTTAGGCTTACCTGGTCATGGGGACCAGGTGCCGTCATGACATGTTCACGGTTGGTGAACTAGGGTCGTGACATTTTGTATAGAATTTGGTATTTTTTTAATAGGCGTGCTAAAAGCAAATTGGTCACTTATTGTGAATCGGAGGGAGTAGAGTAGTTTAAATATTTTATTGGAAGAAAAGTGCATTACATTGAATAGAGCTTTGCACGTTCCCAAAATAGTCTATGCACGTAGAACAAGAAAAAGAAAATTATAAACTAATTGTTTGATTTTTATATGGTAAACTTAATTGAGTTTGATGTGCTAAATATTATGATTTTTTGTGTAAGGAAAACTTTAATAAGTAAAGTTTTAATTGACTTAAAAATGGTAATTATTTTGGGAATAATTAAATGACTATTTTGTCTAGTGCGAACTCTATTTTAAAGGAGTAAAAAAGACGAACGACATTTCGCTAAAGGCCTTCGTGCTTTTAATATAGTATAGATATAGATATAGATATAGATATAGATAGATATAGATATAGATTTATTCTTTCATGACCAGAAAAAAATGTCTACTCTATCTGGCTATATATACTTGATAAATTTGAAAAAGGAATTTTAGAAAATAGAACATATATAGAATCTCAAATCTATGAATTCATCTTTTTATTTAGTTTAGACATGGCAATCGTAAAAACACATGACAAACCGGGGACCAGAGAAAGTAGGAAATAAAAAGATCCAATTAATACAAATAGCCCAATATTAAGCATATGTCAGTTCTACACCATTGCAGTGAATACCCAATGCGTGATCAAGCAAAAACTGTCATTAACCCCTCTTGATATTTGGACTTCTTTTTAAATTTTGAGATTTGATGAAGTATAATATAATTCGTAATCGTGATATACTTGATCAGTTGATCTTTTAGGGTGAGTTTGTAAACTTCAGTTAGTTGTTGAGTGACCAATGAATTAATTATATTGGCCAAACATTTAGTTTCTTCATAGATAAGACACATTCTCCTCCTTATCTTAACAACGTTGAATCAATAATTTTCAAGCGCAAGTTAGGATCCACGTTAAAACCCTATCCTCACTCTATATGCACCAAACCAAACGCATATATATATATATATATATATTTAACACGTATGTTATAAAAGAAGATTCCTTTCGGTCAAGAAACAACAAAGAACTCTATATCCGTTATATTGTCATACTATTGAAGTAGCAAAATATAAACATGATAATTAAACCCCATATATTGGTTCCCAAAAACGTCAATGTTAGAGCCATAAGCTATCTGTAAGGTTCCTTAAAACGGAAAATGCCAAAGAGTACCACCACTAGCAAAGTAATGCATACAGGGTGTTATTTCAGTACTGATTGTCATCTCCTATATATGTTACAACTGCATCATCAGATATATATAAATATCATCTGTAGTCTTCTTCTACCACCCTGGAGGACATAAGATCCTGAAGAAGCCCCTGGTCTCTCATCATCTCAGCAGCAGATGGAGCACTGCAAAAGCGCCGTCCATGAGCAACCAAAGCGGCATGATCAAGATTCGAAGCTAAAGGAGTTGTCAAGTCGTTGAAATGAGGCTGCGCGGACTGATTAATATGGAACGGCATTTGCAGAGGGAAGGTGGCAGTGGGAGCTGGCGAGGGGAAAACTCGAGTTGGAAATAAGGTTGGGCGGGGCATATTGATCATATTCATATTCATATTCATATTCATATTCATGGGACTTGGATGAGTATGTTTCCCTTCGTATGTAGTCACCACTATGCTTGGGTCATTGAAACACCGCTCTACTCTCTTCTTTACATTACATGATGCACTTGTGCACCTATAGTAGTTCCTGCAACAAATGTGTAATGTATAAAGCTTAAAACACAACATGGATTGGAATATCTGCAAATCAATATGTCATTCAATTTCCCAACATGGACATGCATATCATTTTCCTTTTTAACCTATAGCAACAACTTACATGCTGAAGTGTGACCATCTCATATAAAAATTTAAGTTGTTAGAGAGCACACTTTTATTTCTTTAATAATATACCTAACACGCCCTACATGCCCCTCACATGCAGGTTTGATTCTTTTTCATAGGCAAAGCACGTGAAAATTCTTTTTGTATAATGGATGACGATGAGATTCGAACTTGGGACATGTACGCTCTAATACTACGTTGAAATGTCTAAGCATAACATCTAAAAATTAAAACTATTAGAAAGAGCACATTTTTATTTACCTAATTATATGCTCAGCACATGTTACCCATAATTGGAAATATTTACGGTGCAAATTTGCGAGCTAGCGTAAGTTGAATTACAAATGATAAGAATCTTCACATTAGGGAAATGGCTAAACACAAATGAACCCTCTTATTAGGAAACCTGCTGGAGCGGTGCATGTACATGTAATTATTTACAGGTTTGAGTCCTCGATTCCTAAAAATTGAATACATGAAAGTCTCTTAGACTTGTGCACTAACCATAAGTATTTTCTTGACTTCCTCATTCTCATACTTAATTACCGTCCTTTTAGCAAAACAATCCCTCTCTGTTTAATTTTTGATAGCAGTACCTCACAACTACAAAGAGATAATCATCACGAGGAGTGCTATGTATAATTGTACTTTTAGACGATACAGATAATTATGACCAAACCAAGGAGGAAATTTGGACTTTGTCGTGTAGCACAAAGTGTACAAGTAAAAACGGAAATAATAATGAATTCAGTAACTTTTGTCCTCCTTCAACACTTGCTAAACCTTTTTTTTGTTTTGGAAATGCACTTATTAAGCTAAATAAATATCCATTCCAAGATAAATCAATCACAAAAGGAAACAGCTTCTTTTTCCCTTATAGGCCATATGTGTTAATTAGGATAAAATCTGATCTTCTTTTTCTAAAAAAGATTTCTCTTTTTTAATTAACTTTTCAGCTTATTTGTTAAGGTGATTTTCCAGAGGGCCACGCATTTGTGCCAAACTGGAACCCATCTGAGCTTATTCGAAAACCTTCCAAACTCTAAGACGATTTTGGAAGAATATAATTACTACAAAACATAATGGCTCTTTTTGGCAGGGGGGGTATATGGAGACATATATACCTGGGGAAAGAGCTGTTTTTGACAGTTTTTTGGCCGTATTTTCTCCATCTGTAACCATCTTCCAGAAAATCAACCTCACTCTTTGTCATGAATGCAATTCTAGGCTCTTTCTCCTTCTTCTGACTAACTGTTTTCTTGGCTTTCAACCTACTTTCAACAACACAAGCCCCAAAAATGGAATTAGCAACAGCAAATTGATTATGTATATTTACACTCGCAAAGAATGATTCTTTATTTTTCTTACAGACAAGAAAAATAGTACACTAGTAATTATTGATGCGTAAGTAAGTTAAGCTCAAGTGCAAGTAATAAGAACATACTGCTGTTTTGTTTTGGTCTGTTCTTCAGCTACTTCCCCCTCTGCATCTTGAGCGTGGCCCTCATTTGTTTCAGAGGAAATCGATGAAGAATTTGGCGTTGATGGCGTATTCAATATGTTAGACGATGATTCATGAGCTGCTTTGTTTTGGCTCTCAGCTGCTGGAGATGGCTTTACTTCTTCAGATATAGAAACTGCAGGTTCTATATGGTACTTCTCTTCTTTTGGTAACAACTGATCATGATTAGTAGTAGTACTATTTACATCAAAGACTGAAGCTGAACAAAAGTCTTGAACACCCAATAACTCCATGAACCCCAAAGATGAATCAATACTAGTATTCTTACCTTCAACAGCATAATTATAATCTGACACTAAGCCTGTAAATGAATTGCTAATAACTGGAAAATTATCAAAATAAGACATGGGATCTTCCATCTTTATCGCTATCTCTTTGTAACTTTCCATTAATAAGTAGAAATATTAAAGAAAGTAGATAAATAAAGAAGGAGAAGAAGAGAGTAGTAAATCCATTAGGCCAAGGCATATATAGTGGGAACATATACAGAACTCAATGGTGCTAGCTATATGGATTGGGGTATTGTGTGAAGGTGGACACAAAGATTGACCGGGTTCAGCCGGTTATAGAATTGTACGGACAATAAATAATGTTTAATTACATCAATCTAATGAATACACTACACTTATTTTGATATATATTGTTATCACTAAATTATAGTAAATATTTAAAAAAATAATACAATATCTTAATTTATTAATAACTATAATAAATTAATATTTTACTCCCCGGGCCATTTTAAGTGATTTTTTAATATTCTTTTGTGGTTCACAATATGTGATTTTTTCAAATATCAAGAAATTAATTTCTTTTTTTGAGAATTGCCTTTGGAGTAATGAGTTTAGGAATAGTTTGTTACTCCTTCCAATCACTTTTACTTGTCTACAATAGATTTTGCAGACCTCTTAAGAAATAATGAAGTGCTTAAATTACCATGATCCCCAGGTATATTTTTAATGGATTTGAGAAAGTGATTTAAAATAAAAATAACTAATTAATATTGTGGGTATAATAGGAAAAAAAATTGTCTATATACTAAAAGTGACAAATAAAAGTGAAAATCTATTTTTAGAATATTAGAGAAATAAAAGTGAATGGATTAAGAGTATATTTATAATGAGAAAATTAAAGTTTATATGGTCAATTATATTATTAATTAATATTAAAAAATTTATTAATACGTGCGAAAAGAGACAAAAGATCAATTAAAGTGGACCCGGAGGGAGTATATAAATATCGAACGTTAGTAAATTATCTGGAGTAAACAAATTGCAATGTGGCTTTTAATGCATGCTGGTCCAAAGACTGAGAGTTGCAGGAAAACTGGTCGATGCATTCAGACGTTAGTTTTGACCGGTAAACCGGTTACCGTGTGAACAAGATCGATGATTGCGGCTTGATTTGCCATCCCGATATCTTTTTCTTATTTTTTAGATCTACCTATATGCTTTTGGAGCCAAATTATTTTAATTTAATTCATCAAATACTAAAGCTTATTTGGAAAAGAACAAAGATAACAGTGACTAGAAGTGACCAGAGGATATGTCTCTTATTTTTTGTTTCACTTGAAACGAAAAGAGGGCACTTTTTATGATTGAAGACGAAAATTGTTCCTAAAATTGGAACTTTACTGATGAGGATATATCGCTCATTCCTCTCACAGCTTCAACGTGGATTAAATTAGACTTACGAAATTTTAAGATACCTATTTTGCGTTGAGAAGGAAAAAAAAGGGAAACTTTTTTAATGATCCAGGACCACAAATGTATGGCTCCTGAATTTGAACAGTTGGTTCTTGTAGCTGTAGGTATATATTAGTGAAACTTTCTAAAAGGATAAAGAAAAAAGTGAAAGGAGAGGATGAAAGAGGAATAATAATAATAATATTATGAGAGAGAAGATAAATATTTGTCTTATTATTGGATACTTATATTCTTACCGAATTATTTTATGTGAATGTCATTTCACACCAGCTAGCACCAATATGAAATTGTCCTGTTTATAAGTATTGGATACTAAGAATAAATTGCTTAATTATATGATTATTACGCTATGGCTATCAATGAAATTGTCTTGCTCATAGGCGTGTCTTTCTTTCAGACAACTAAAAAAATCATTCAAAGATGTATATATCCTCTTCGCAGAATCAAAAATCTTTATTTTTGATAATAAACTTTATTTTTTCTTTTCTCCTAAAAATCAATGCAAAAAGAAAAATCATCTCTATCGTTTCCTCCAATTTCCTATTACTTTAGTTGAAAAACCTGTATCGGAAAGGGTGAATTACATTCAATTCGAAAGTTTGCCACCATAATTAATTAATGTTGTGAGATAAATATAATCCCTCCCATCTTTAGTGCTACAATCTCCAAATAAAAAAATGTTGATAAAAAATATTTTCATCTTTGATGGTTCTTATGCAACATAAATTCGAACTGACTGAGACTTTAATGAGAATGCTTAGGGTTCGTTTCGTGATCTGAGGCTAGAAACTCGTGTTTTAGTCGTAGTATTACATTCCAATTACTGCATTTCTACGTGTGCTTAAGCTCAAATGATAGTGAATTACACTTAGTACGTGTTTTATGCCTTGCAGGAAGTGATCCCGAGTTCAAAGTTAATTTGGAGCTAAATCGATCAATTTGGGCTTTGAAGTCTGAGTAAAAGCCCAATGCATTAAGCCGGGATCGTGTTCGGAGATCGTGTACCAAGTCTGGATGTCAAAAGAAGAGAAAAAATTTCACTCTGGGAAATTTGCACTACTGCGCCGCACTGTATGCCGCAATAGTGCAAATTCACAACAGGCGTCAGAAATCAACTCTCTAAAGTTTCCCACTATCGCGCCGTACTGTGCGACCCAGCGTGCGACGCGGCTGTACAAAATTCGTAGAGCTAAGTCCTAATTCGCGCAGGAAAGGGTGTTTCGTATGGACCCGACCCTACTAGGTATAAATACATGTAAAAGTGCTATTTGGAGGACTTTTGACACATCGGAGACCTAGGGCTACTATTTCGGAAGAAGATTATCATCGAATTCTACATTCGTTCATCTTTAATTTGTAATTTGATTATGCAAACTATTTGTTGAATTGTTACTATGAGCATGAGTAGCTAAATACCTAATCTAGGGTTTTGATGGAACCTGTTGAAGGATGACTTTCTCGTTATATTAATATAGATTTGCCATCGTATTATCTCCAGTTGTTCAACTATATGCTTATTGATGTTGATTGAAGGGCCCTCAATTAGCTGTTCCTATTTAGTGTGCATTACTCGGGAGAGAGTGTATATTTAGGTTGTTGTTGAACTTCATCACTCCTAACCTATATGAGGGATCAATACGAAGGGTTTAAAGGTGGGATTAGGGATAACGAAATCTTGGGTGCGATCTAAGTGAGCTGCACTTAAAAGCTAGCTAGCGTAATTAGGGAGAATATGTCTAGTATATTATTGTAATTACTCGGGAGAGAGTTAGGACAGTCAGAGTGCTCATGATCGATAGAGAAGACTTAGGCAAATTTATAGCAAACATAGTGGAAAGGATTCCAACAACAGGGAAAATCAGCACCTTAGACCATTCTCATTCTTGGTTACAACCAGTTTATAGCTAGTTCTTAATTACTGAAACTATTACGTAATATTTAGTTCATAAACACCCATTTTTTTACCCAAACATCTCTGAAGATTGAATACGTGAATTTCTGTGAGTCCTATAGCTGTGATCGATAGGTTAATTCCATGTGGGATTCGACTCCGGACTTGTAAACCGGAATATATTTGCAGCGACCGCTTTGTCCTTTTTATAAGGCATAGTTAGGCGTGATCAAATTTTGATGCTGTTGCCGGGGAGTTAACGGTGTTACTGATTGCGGTTAAAAAGAAGTGCAGAAATTTCTAGTGTAGTCAATTTTCTTCAATTTAAACTGATCATTGAAATTCTAACGTATGTCGTCGTGGTTGTCACAGGTGCATGCCTAGAAACTCCTTAAGAACTGGAGAATTGTTCGAAGCATTATCAGATCCCGAGAAGGTGTTCACGGCATTGAACCACGCAAACAGGAAAGGCAGACAACAACAAAACTCAACCGAAAGAATTGAACCAGACATGGAAGACGGTAATCTAAACAACAGGGACAACGTGAATGACCCAAATGATCAGGGTGTGGCACCTCTTGTTCCAGAAGCAGCACTATATGACTGGGCACAACCCACAACTGACAACTTAGCAACTGCTATTGTAGTCCCTCAGATACAAGCAGACTCATTCCAGATCACAAATAACATGCTACATCTGTTGCAGAACAAGGGGCTATTCTCTAGGTCATACGTTGAAGATCCTCAGCAACATCTAAAGAACTTCCTCCCAATCTGTGCCACGCAGAGACATCACAATGTCATACCGGAAGCAATACGTTTGTTGTTGTTTCCATTCTCAGTGACAGGAGCAGCCCAGACTTGGCTTAATTCACTCCCTATCAACTCCATCACTCCTTGGGAGGAATTAGTCAAGCAATATTTGAGCAAATTTTACCCACCCAACAAGACTGCTCAACAAATTGATGAGATATTGAGCTTCAAACAGAGACCCACTGAGACGCTGCATGAGACGTGGGGGAGATTCAAGGGTCTCCTAGTTATATGTCCACATCATGGTATTTTGGAGCAGATGGTGGGGCAGAGATTTTACATAGGTTTAGCAGATACTTTAAAAGCTAATGTTGATGCATAAGCAGGTGGATCATTTTTTAGCAAGACATTTAGAGAGAGCAAGATCCTGCTTGACAAGATGGCACAAAACTCAGGATGGACAACAAGGAACGCTCCAATCACTCCTGTGGTTCACTCACTGGCTCTAGACCCAGCTAACTCCATAGTTGAAAATATGGCTACCTTGATGACACAAATGAGCATCCTCACCAAAAAGGTGGAAGAATCAGGCCAGAAGCAACGGGTACACATAGTTGATGCAACTAATGGGGGTCTATGTACATCATGCATTAATCAGCCATATGTCTGCTCATGGAGTGCTGAAGGTGAGAATCAACAATATCAGGAGAACATGAATTATGTGGCCAACTACGGGGGACCGAGACCAGGTGGTCAGAATTGGGGTCAACAAAATCAACAATATAGACCAGGTCAACAACAGTACAATAACAACAGTAATCATGGGGCTATACGACCACAGGGGCAAATGGTGCCTTACCAAAGGCAACAAGGGTACAACCAGCAAAATCAGCATCAGGCTTATCAACAACCTCCACAATAACAAATTGTGAGACATGAAGATGGGTTTGCTAAACTCGAGGGTATGATGCAACAAGTGATTGGGTCCACTGGAAAGATAGCTGACAGAGTAGACTCACATAAGTCAGCGATCAAAAATATTGAGATCCAATTAGGATAGATTTCCATGGCCCTAAATAATCGTCCTCATGGGACGTTACCTACAGACACCCAAATCAATCTAAAAGAGCAGGGCCCG